GGGCAGGGCAACATGTTTCACTGTTTTGTGGCTCTGTGTCAGGGGAGGGCTTGAAGAGGGGACAATGCTGCAGCCTGGCCTCTGGAGATTTGCCCGGGAGGAAGCTGTCTTCCAGCACTCGCCCTGTTTCCGGTCACTTGTGCCCTTCCAGCTGCTGCCCCAGTGCTGAATCCCAGAGGGGGTGAGTCTGCATAAGTCCTGAGAACTTTGTGGGCCCTTTAAGAGGAGCCTCCGGAGAATCCTGCAGTTTCTTCTGCCACCCCAACCCCCACTAGTTTTTACAGCCTGAAGTTATGGGGACTTATCACCTTGGTGTTGGAAGCCTAGGCTGGGTGGTCTGGTTTGGGGCTGGGATTGCTCGCTCCCCAGGTATCTCCCCTCCCGAGGTTCACACACACACACACACACACCCCACCCCACCCCCCGTCTCCACCCTCCTACTGGTCTGGATGAAGACGGCTGCTTTCAATCCTTGGTTGCCAGACTTCCACAAGGCCCGGTTTTCAGAAAACTCTGGGTGGTATTTGTTTTTTGGTCTAGCTGTAATTTCTGCTGTGGTTGTGCGAGGAGGCAAAGCGTGTTTACCGCACCTCCATCTTGACCGGAAGACCACATGTTCTATATTTAAATCAATTTTTGATAGCTAATGATCACATTGGAAATTATACATACACATAAAGTTGTTTTTAAATATTTAAATTATTACCATGTTTTAACTCTTTTTGTCCCATTTAAATGGAACCAACAGTATAAACCAGTCTTTTCTGAATTATGCTAAAGAATAAAACAGTTTCACACTGAGTGTAGAAAAGAAAAAATATGGGATGATGACGTGAGAGATTTTATACTCATCCTGATTCAAAAAACTGTGTGTCCAATCCAAGCGCAGTGCACAGCCATGGGGGTGCCAAAGGGGCTTATGGCGCCAGAGAGCCTCGTCGAGTCTGTGCCCCTACAGCACACACCTGAGTCATGCAGCACGTGAACGCTGCTATGAAAGTGTGTTTATGGTAACGAGTAGAGCACTGTCGACAGTAGGTGGCACCAAAAAGGACTCCCTACCTTTATGGCTGTATCTAAAACGGAAAAGTCTGATTTCATGTTTCCTTTGTAAGTAAGCCACTACTGAATTCCAATTTTCCCCTCAAACAGCATACAGCGACACCCCTTTTTAAGTTCAGGAAGAATGCCTCTCAATTTAGAGAACCACAGCGCTGTAAGAGTAAACGTAAAGTAACAAAATTCTCTACACCTCTCAAAAGCCCTATGTAACATTTCAACATTAAAATGCATTCTCTGATGGGCAGGTGGATGGGCAATAGGTAGACAGGTGATAAAGCGAGCCCAGTAAAATGTGAACAACAGGATCTGCTACCAAAGCAGCTCATCATCAAGCAAGCAATGCAACAAAACGAATTTCAAATATTTGAACACAACTTCAGTCACTACTCATGCAGGTCTGCTAAATCTTTCTAGATTCCCCTATGGGCTCATCACCGACAGAGGCACATACACACACAGCTTACACAGGTTTGCTTCTTTAATTAGGTACGAAGGCCACCTTCTTGACTACAGTATACAAAGTAATTCTCTCTCCAGTGTGCTAAAAATCAGATGGCTTCACTACATTGTTCGTGAGGCTATAATTTAAGCATAAACAAATTTCTTACTTATTCAACTCAAAAGTAATGTTTTCTAGTGATACAATTAAAAAAAGAGAGAAAAATAAAAACGACCACATATTGCCAGATAGGTATTTCTTACTTATCTTCAGATTATTCAAACAAACAAACATAAAATACCCCAAATGTCTAAAAATAGATAATTTATTAGATACATTGTGGTTCACCCATATAATTTAATACTATGGAGCCATTAAAAAGCAATGAATTTGAAAACATGTTCATAATATACGATGTGAATAAAACAAATGACAAGACTGTTTATATGGCTTAATCCCAATGTTGTTAAACAAGTACGAGAGGAAGAAAAAATCAATTAATCATGGTATCCTGTGAGCCAGAGGTTTTAAAAACTACTTTTTAGAGATACTGCTGATACATAAAAAATAAGGCACAGGGTCCATCTTTCCTCGTTTGTTTAAACAAATACACCACTCCTACCAGGCCCTCTCCTACGGATACAACACTAAACTCCAGACCAAAACCAAGACAAACAGACGAAAACCCTGAGGCACTGGAGGGTGAACAACTGCAGAACCTGGACAGGATTTGACTCTTGGAAAAAAAGGAATAGGACACAGTTAGTGACCTGTTTTTAATAACTTTTAGCCTTAAAGGGCAGGCCAAAGTTGGCACTGAGCAAAGCGGATAAAACGCCAATAGAAAATCCAGTCTTTTGGCCTGAAGAACCAGAAGGCAAAGTTCAGAGCAATCATAGTGGCAAGAGAGTGAGGTAGGAATCTTGGAAAGGAGAAAACCCCGAATTATGTGACTAAAGTCTGCTCAAATACCTAGCTGATCCCTGAGCCGCACATGTGCGGGAGAGACTCCAACTAAGGACGATAAAACTAAGCCGAGCTAAGAGCTGCCACTACCAAGCTGCAGAGTCCAGCCAAGTTAATTGTCTGCTGAAAAAAAAGAAAAGAAAAAAACCTTCTGAGTAATAAAACAGATTCTAGAGTCTCTACAACATAACATCCAACATCCAGAATACGGTCTAAGGTTACCCCCAAAGAAACAAGAGAATATTACCCATTAAAAAAAAAAGGCAATACACAAAATCCAAACCTAAATGACCTAGATGTTAGAATTTGTAGACAAAGATGTTAAAGCTCACCCCTGACTGGTGTGGCTCAGTTGGTTGGGCATCGTCCTGCAAACTAAAAGGTAGCCAGTTCGACTCCTGGTCAGTGCACATGCCTGGGCTGCAGGTTCAGTCCCTGGTGGAGGCGCATGTGAGAGGCGACCCACCAATGTCTCTCCCTCTCTTTCTCCCTACCTTCCCCCCTCTCTAAAAATACATAATTAAAATCTTTTTTTAAAAGCTCAATGACATAAAAGAAAATAGGCTCACAATAATAAAAAATAACAATAGCAAAGACAGAACTATAGAAAAGAACCAAATATAAATTCTACAGCAAAAAATTACAATGCCTAAAATATAAAATTCATTGGATGGGCTTAACAGCTCCATCGATAACAAAGTAAAAACACAATGAACTTGAGATTAGATCAGTATTATCCAATTGTAAGAACAGAGAGAAAAAAAGATTGGGGGAAAAAAGTCTCAGGGATACCTATAACAATATCAAAAGGTCCTACGTATATGTAATTAGACCCCAGAGGGAAAGAGAAAGGATGGGGAAGAGAAAAATATTTGAAGAAATAGTCTAGATCTTGATAGGAATTTTGATTACACTGGTATATGCATTTGCCCAAACTCAAAAATTACACACTTAAAACCTGGGCAGCTCATTATGTGGAAAGTGTTTGTTGAAAGAAGAAGGCTAAACTGACATTGAACTCTAGTAAATGATGTATATATGCAAATATTTAGAGGAAGTCTACTGATATCCACAATTTACTCCGACATGCATTCTCCCCCACAAAATGGATTAGTAACACAGAGCGGAATGGATAGATATGTGATAACAAGTATAGGAAAATGTAAATGTAAGAATCTATGTGGTGGATGTAAGAGGTCTGTCCAGAAAGTATCCAGCCACATAAGATGAAAAATGGAGTGACATTCACTGAAGAAGATACGAGGTACGACAAACACTGTACGTAGGATAATGACGCCTCAGTCCTCTTCAACGTAGGCACCGTGGGGCCTCACACAGTTCTCCCAATAGCCATCAGCTGCCCCGTTGTATTTTCCTGAATCTCATTGATGGTCTGAAATCTCTTCCCTTTCAAAGGTGATTTTAGTTTCAGGAAAAGCCAGAAGTCGCAGGACACCAAATCTGGGCTGCAGCGGGGCTGAGTCATCTGGTAACTTGATGTTTCACCAAAACACTCTGCACAAGACATGGGCATCAGTGGGGGCATTGCAGTGATGAAGCTGCCAATCACCAGTTGCCCACAGCTGTGGCCTTCTGAATCATTGAATAGTTTCCACAGAGGAATTTCAAGCTTAATGCAAAATTCGATGCAGATTCATTGCTCTACTCACTCAGTCATTTGAATGTGACGGCCACACAGCACGCATGCTCACTCACCGGTGTCTACTGCCCCCACTGACTGACTAGTGCAGTGAAGTTGTCATTGTTCACTCATGTGCATTCCAGTCCACTCTCCTTGGCTGCCAGGTTACATCAATGTGACGCAAACCATTCTTGTTATATTAACAATGACTGGACATTTTCTGGACAGACCATGTAGTTGGGTATTCACCATTAAGTTCTTTTAATTTTTCTGTATGTTTGAAATTTTTCATAATAAAATTTTGAGGGAAAATAATCATTGTAGCTGACTGCTTCAATCCACTAAAACAAAATTATTTTTTTTTAATACAAGAGTTACATGTTGTTTCCTCTTCGTTAGTTCAGTGGCCCCTACAACATCAGCCAAAATTCAGTCAACGAATCCACCTCATTGGAGCAGCTGGTTAGCCTGGTAACTGTATCTGCAGACTGGGAAGTGAGGCGGTGTGGGAAGATGAGAGGGGAGAAAGGCTACTTCATGCTTCCTTATTTCTTTTAACACTAAACTTTAGAAGACAGTAGACAAATGTTCTCCATGTTTACTAATCAAATGCAGAATGATCCCTCTATTTTTCTTTCTAGGTGTGTGAAGAGTAACTGATGTGCTATGGTTATATTATTCCTTTAAGAGAGACCAAACCTACATACAAATGTCTTGTATTATGATCAGACACTATACCTTAAGTTCTTCTAGAGAAAGAACAAAACGTAAAAAGGGAAATACAACATCTGTGTATAAAAGGTGTATCTTTATGTTAAAGATACAAAAAAGCACCATAATAGCATTTAAAGGCTGTGTGTTGATTTTAAACTCTGCCATTTTATCTCTTACCTTCAAGTTCTTCTAGATGTGAAGGGGTTCCTTGTATCCTGGGCTGAACGTACGACAACTTAAACGTGGGCACCACGAAGGGTACCTGTTTGCCATCCGGTGGTAATCTGGAAAGTAAGTAATCCTCAGTGCAGCCGACCTGCGGCTTCACAGAGACGGCGCTCAGCGGGGGCACGCACACGGGAGCACGGTGACAGTCTGGGACTGCTGCTTTCAGGTCCCCTTCTGCTGAGACTGCGTGGGAAAGAAGGGGGCGGAAAGACAAAGGTCACATACATGCATGCTGATTTGCATATAATAATCCAAGCCTAACATGCTCGGTACTTACTCAATCATTTTAGAACAAACTGCTGCTACATAAACTACTCTGGGGCCCGCCTACCAAGCACATCTGGACTCGACATCAATTCTGTCCAGCCAATACTTGAGCAATGAGTATGCTATTGTCAAAGAATATTAATTTATTATCATGATAAGCTTAGTTTATAGAGTCTCATTACCACAAGAGTTCATAGATGAAAAACAAGTTTATTTTCAAGTTAATTACACAGTACTTTCAAGTAAAGTCTAGTCATTTAAAACTACTCTCAACAGAGCAATTCTTGTTGTGAATGCTAATGGTAAACATCAGTCTTAAATACATAAAGCAACTCTAACAGAAGCTAAATTGAGGTCTCTGAGTCTATGAAAATCTTCACCCAATCACAAAATAAAACATACATTGACCCAAATATTATAGCAACCCTCCCTGTGCTGGCATCTCTGACCTACGTTGTTCACGCTCTAAAACAACATGTGACTCCTAAAACACGTGAGTTAGGATGGAGAGGTTAGGGACACCCAGAGTTAATCTGGGAATAATCAGTATTGTCTACAGGATGAATAAAAGTGCAACTACCATTGTGTATTGATTTATAAAATGTTTTAATGCAAAAAAGAAGCCTTCATACTCAAATATACTTGGAAACTATGCTCTAGACTAAGAAATACAAGAAAGCCAATGAAAAGTGAAGTTCTGGTCATAGCCCTGAAGAGGTGAGGAAACCAGGCAATAGGAAGGGAAATGGCCAGGACTCCTTGACAAATGTGGGTCTTGACAAGTTTGTGGGCCTCTTTCCTCCTTGTGTCCTTCCCCTCCACTGGTCATTCACCCACAAAAGGCATTTTTAATGCACTGTTTATAAAATGGACATTAAAACATTTGCCAGAGTACGCTGTCCCCCAAACACACACCGTACTTCCCTCTCTACCTTGGCCTACATTTCATCCACCTGTAACATTCATGCCCAATGCTCAGCTTCTCTTACTTCCTTCTCCCCACTCAGCTTGCTAAAATCCTCTTCATACTTCCACACCCACTGCCATCTTCCTTTTGGGATCGTCCCGGGGCGCCTCCTGCTTACCTAATGTGCCTTATGTCTCTACCTCTCCCATTAAGTTAGGATATATGTCTCATTTACCCTGATACGACAGAATGCCACAAATAAATGTTTGTTGAAGTCAAAGTAAAATGCAACTTACAGTTGTGCTTTTCTGTTTCACCATAGAAACATCCTCTACAGCAAGTCTTCACAAATTCTGTTGCCATTACATTCAATTTCTAATACCGAGCACAAGATACAAATTTCCGATTTTAATATTAATCTGTTGTAGAAGAGAAAACAATTTTAAATGGTCATGCTCAATGCTATTAGGTATCACTGCATACAATAAATCATATTATCCACCTTTCTAAGATGTTCAAAAGTTTAGAGGACAATAAATTTTTGTTCCTGTATGTAATTTTTGTATAACCTTGGCTCCTTATATGTTAATAAAATAACATGCTTAAAAATTACTAAGTGAACAATTTCAATTTTAATCTGGAAAAAAGAAAATCTCAACTCTCAATATTCTCTTTAGCCTTACATATCTCAATTGATGACTAAGCAAAATTTGAAACAAAATGGCACTCATAGAAAAAGTGTGAGAAAAACTTCACCTGCTCCAGATCGATTCCTTTGGTAACCCAAAGACTCTATCATGGGGGCCAATAAACAAATGCCTTCATACTTTGTGAGACAGTTTAACGCTTAGAATTACACTAATAGAAAAATATATCTTAAACATGGCAACACACACACACAACACCAGCTAAGTCATAAATAAGATATATTAGAAAAAGGGGAGTCTGTTTAAAATTCATCTGAAATATAAGACTGTATAGGAAGTTCATGTCCAGGAGACACATTTATTGCAGGGACAGTGCACCAATGACAAGGAGTCACATTTCGCAGACAAGCTAGACCGGCATTCGAGAGCAAGGCTCCCGACTTTCCAGGCAACTGTATATTACTATTTAAATGGTGTGCTTTCTTCTACTCTGTTTTATAGCTTTATTGAGGTACAATTGACTTACAGTAAGTGGCACACATTTAACATACAATTACATGAGTCAGACATAGGCATACGCTGAGGAAAGCATCTTCACCACCAAGAAAATGAATACAGCCATGATCCCCCAAAGCTTCCTCATCACACCCCTTTTTAACCCAGCCTTCCTGACTTTCCCTTGCCCCCACTCTTGAGTAACCACTGATCTGTGTTCTGTACTTTAGGCCAATTTGCATTCTCTAGAAATTGGTCAGGTACAGTTTGGACATGATTTATGTACGTATTTTGCTTTAGCAGATACTGCCAGAGTTCTGTAAAATGCACCGATTCACACTGCTGCCAGCGGAGAATGAGAGTCCCCCATGGTCCCACAAGCTTGCTCACCCTCCACGATGGCCCCATTTTAGCTCTTTTCATATTCCTAAGGAAAATATATCCAAAACTGCTTGTCTGAACAACAACCAAAAAAATGTAAACTTTCGATGGTGACTGAAGTGGAATTCATTACAAAGAAATTTTAATCTAAGGGCACTTTCCCTGGAATGCACAACAATCATCGAAGCAAAGGCCCTGACTAATGCATGCCTCGTGGATTTAGTCAAAACGTATGATTTCTGCAGCAGAGTTCTAGAAGAGCCGCTGAAACACACATGAAAGAATCATAGGATTGAAAGCGAGCTGGGTAGTCAGTGCCCTGGACTCAGTGAAATGCAGGCCAACAACTGCACCTCGACTTTAACACTGGTAACAACCCCCGAACCCAGCAGATCAAAATGCCACTAAAATTGTGTTGTCCTTTGGCCAGCGGCAGGGGGGGGCGGATGGAACGCCCTTCTAATACTGCAGCTCCATCAGTACGCTCTGATACTGGCTCTGGGCTGCTGCTGAACCATGAGGGAGGAACCGTGCTATGAAATGCATTTTGATGTAAAGGTATTTTCCTTATCTCCATCTGACTCTAAAGTCCCCTCTACTGCCTTGTCACTTCTTTGAAAAAAAAATAAGGGCTCAACCATCACTACCTTTATTTCTTCATCCTCTACTCCTCAAAGACACTCAAATTTGGCTTCCAGCCATATCATTTTATTTAAATTATGTTTGCTGAAATCAATGACCCCTCCTTCCTAGCAAAGCCAATAGGCACTTTATCAGCTCCCATGTCCCTGATTCTTGGAACTCGTCTGACTCTGAGATTTCTTTCTCCAACCCATTTCCTCTCTTGGCTTCCATGACCCCACGGTCTGCGCCCTCTCCTCTCCTTTCTTCCCTGGCTGGGCCCACCTACCCCTTAAACATTGGCATTCCCCTTCCTTGGTCTTCCTCTGCTTGAATGACTTCTTCCTCTCTCACAGAATTAACTTCCACCAGCCAGATGCTTCCAACACTCACAGTCTGATCCTGACTTCAGAATATCCTGACACCAATAAATTGTATCAATAAAATGCCCCCCTGGACAGCCCTGCCACATGTCTCGAGAGAACCTCGAACTCACCTTGTCTCTACCTGATTAGTCTATCAACTTGTTAATTTTATTCATAAGTTAAATTTATGAATTGAATTATTACAATAAATAATTCAAGAAGAGCCAATAAAACACAAGAGATCCTTAAAATAATTTTCTTAAAGGGTAAAAAAGCTCAATTTTTTATGAAGTCTTTTCCCCCACTTATGAAGGTAAACTCAGTCATTAGTAAAAACAACAAAATACAAAAGATGATACAAAAGCAACCCTGGAATCCCAGCTCTCAAAAGCAAGCAATAGCAACATTTCCTTCTGAAAAAACAATTTTTAATCTTGAAAGAGGTACACATCAAAATACTAAATTGGTAAATAGGGGATGGTGGTGTTATTAACTCTATATTTCCAGGCCTTTTTTTTTTTTTAACTTAACTCTATTAACTGCCTACTTGGAGTTAGAATCAGTATACTATATTAAAAACAAAAGCATGCTGTGTTTTAAGTATTTTACAGGAATCAGTGCTTTTGGCTTGGCATCTCTCTCACCCGTACCTGGACATCTGTGTGCAGTGGTATATTCCTTTACTTAAAGGAAGCCATTGCAAACATACACAGACGCACAAAACACTGGGAGAAACATGCGAAATCTAACATCTAGCTGGGTAGACCATGTGTGTTTTGCAAAAGCCATAGTAAAGTGACGTTTTAACACCTCTCTGCCACTTCAAAAAGCTCAGAAACACTCCGCTAATCAGTTCTCATCTGACTCTCCAGCGAAGGAAGTGCTTTTCCCCTTCCCCTTTCCGGGCCCGGAGCCCACCCCAGCGGGGGGCTCCCCTCCCTCCGGTCCAGGGGTCCCCCAGAGTGGACCGGTGAACCCCACACCCCGTCCTGTTCCATAGGGCGAGTCACTGCCTTCCAGGACGCGGTGATCGCAGCTGTCCAACAACCGTAAGCCTCCCTCGGGCCTCCGCAGAGCAAACTCCAACACAGTCACCGGGGCCGCAACGAAGGAGGCATTTTTTAAAAAGTTTAAGGAGACCAAAAAAACGTGCAGAACAGTCGTAGGACCCTCAGCCCCGCGAGGCACCGGGCAAGGGGTCTACGCGCCGGGGCCCAGGCCGCTCTTACACCCACACCCAACCCCCCCCCCCCGCGCAGGACCCCGGAGGCCAGGACGGGGGTCACTCGAGACCCGCCACGCAGCGCCCCTGACAGCGCACCTGGGCCCTCCGGCTCCCTCCCACGCCGGGACGCCGGGGCGCCGGGGTCTCCACGCGCGGCTCTCAGGGCGCCCTTGCTCCAACACCTTGCGGAGGCTGCACTGTGCGGCCCGGCAGGTTACCTGCTCCAAGCAGCGGACGTTCTGCCGTCGCCGCCCCGCGTAGCGAGTCTCGGTTCACAACGCCGGCGGCGTCCATGGCCCCGCCCCCGTTTCCCCTAATTCACCAACTGCGGTCGGACGGTGCACGCGGAGGGGCGGGGCCGTGCCGAGCGGCGCCCTGGATCAGTGGGTCCGCGGGTCCGCGCACCTGAGCGCACTGCGCCTGCGCCGTCGACTCCTTTCTCCAGTCCGTCTGTTACAGCCCCAACTCTCAGTGAGAGACTCACTTTGAGAAGGTCTAAGGTGAAGCCGGGCAGAGTCTGGAGTGTTTTGAGGGATCAGAAGGGAGATAAAAGATAGAAGAGGAGAGGGAAAAACCATTGGTCTAATGAACCTTTTTGAATAGGGAAGGAGGAAGCATAGATATTTGCCAGAGATATTTCTGCACCCTTTAAGGGGGACGGTGGGGAAGCACAGAACCTTCTTAGTTGTAGTGTTACTGGACTTTAGTGTTTTTATGTCCTAATTATAACGTCTTTGATACTCAGCCCGCATGTCTTCACTTTTGTGGTTTTGCATCTGCCTGCACCTTGCCAGCAGTAGGTATGTTGAAAGGGATCCTAAGGGTATCCGTTGCAATGACCTGGGCCCCATTCTGTGCTGGAATCTAGCGCTGGAATCTGGCGCGGAGTTGGCTGGCCCTTGTCAATTTCGCCTCCCAAGGTAGGAATCGTAACTCTATAGTAGAAAAGTTGTTGAATGAATTCCTAGAGTATCTGTTAGTGAATAGTTTAGTGAGAGGCCAATGATTATAGATTGAAATAAAGGTAATACATTTCTTCCTGTATAGCAGTCTTTCTCCAAGTGGATTCTGTTAATCTCCAGGTCCCAGATATACTGGAAAAGGATTCAGGGTGGGGGCGGGGAGGAGCGTGGGAAGGGGATAAAACCAAGATCAAATTAATCTGGGGAAAGAAACACAATACGGGAGTAGGCAAAAGTAGGTTTAGAGTTGTGAGCATGCAAAACACAGTGTACTATTGTATCATCAATTACTATATTATTTTCCATATGAACAACCATAAACCTACTTTTGCCCACCCCTGTATAGTTGCTCTCCTTGAAATTGATGACACATTTACAGGCCTGAAAACTGTTTTATTTTGTATCATCCTACATTTCTGAAATGTATTTGACCTGAAGGGTGGCAGACTGTGCCACCTTAAAACATACCCCTTTGAATTAAGACCTTCCTTTTTCTTCTTGAAAGCAAAGGAAACGCCAGTGTGAAAGGTGTCTCCCAGAATACCAGAGCGAAAGAAACATTCTGATCACCAGAGATGGGTGTCAAGTTGAGGGAAATATATAGAAACTTTGTTAAACTGACCCTTATCTTCCTAATCACTACACAATTAACTACCATAGCTCGAGTCCCTTTGTCTTGTTGCATTTTCACTATTCACTACTCGTTTTCCAACTTAGTATATAAATGTCTAGCTCTAGCTGCTCCTTCAGGTCTTCACTTTCCTATTCGGGCTCCCCCGTGCATGTAAAATCTGCATGTTTTACTACTATTAGTCTATGTCAATTTAATCTTCATTTCTGGTCAGAAACCCTAAAAAGGTTAAGTTTTACCTCCTCTAGAGACCACTCAACTCTTGAGAAATACCTGTTACAATCCCAGGGTATTAGGGCTTCAATCAACACACTTTGTTAAACATTGCTTTAAAGTTCAAGTACATTTACCATGAATAGTTTTTCACTCTATTACAAATGCTCGCAAAGTTCTGGATGGTTTATACAAAACTTTCCCATGATTCATCTCAGTTCATCTTCACAATTATGATGCAAGTGCTATTGTCCTCATTTTATAGTTGAAGGTATTGAGGATTGAACAAACAGTGGCTGGCCAGAGTCAAGATTGACTCTGGACTTCAGACTCAAAGGCCTTTTAGAGGTATATGATGTGCTGTATTTAAGAGTCAAATGGGAGAGAGAAGGAGAGAGAGAGAGAGAGAAAGAGAAAGGCCAAGGACCTTTACCTAGCTTTTACTCCCTGCAACATCTGACGTCATAGTTCAGAGCACAAAATTGCCACTCAAATGTGTTAAATGAATGAGAAATGGATGAATGCATGAGGGTTCAACAATGCTTATTGAACTGGACTGAGTCCTCCCTCAATGCCCTAACTGAGCAACCTTAACAACCTCTTCACTGATGCAGAAGTTCTAAGAGCAAGACCTCCCCAAATTGTACTTAGTTTTCTTCCGTCTTTCATCTAAAAAAGACTCCTTAGAATAATCCACTCTGTTGACAGAAATAGTTCTTTGAAAACAATGAAACCACTTCCTTTATTTTCCTTGAAATGGGCCTCCTTCCTGTTCCACTCTCAGAGGCGAGGCTGCATTGATCTAAATGGTGGATATTGTACTCACACCTTTCTTTGTGCCCCGGGGGTTAACCTCTTCCCACAAAAGGACGGTTGTGCAACATTCTGAGTAAGTTTTCGTTTTCTGTTTGCTTGCTCTTTAAAATAAAAGTGTGTTTTTAATATTAATGTCTTGTATTACTTGAGGCAGATCTGAAGCACAAAAATAGATTAGGGTTGATGAGGACAAGAGTGCTGTATAGATCTCGCTCTGCCTATCGATTCTTTCAATTGATAGAGACAAATCATTTAATCCCTGTCCTAATCCCTTCTCATTCTTCCTTCATTCAGTGCAGTTTATAAGTGCTTTGTGACCCAGTCCAGCCCTGCCTCTCCGGGCTCACCTCCCACTACCCTCCACCACAAGTTGTTGACTTTCCTAATCAATTGTAGTTCCCTAAATTGCCAAATTTGCACTACTGTTCCCCTTAACTCTATTTTGTGGGTCCCAATTGGCAAATTCTTGTTCATTCAGCTGAAGTATCACCTCTTCTGGAAGGTGGAGCTCCACAGCACACGTCCCAGCGTGAATTAAGTGCCCTTCCTCAATGTTCCCACCGTAACCCACCCATATCTCTGTCACAGCAATGATACAATAGCTGTGGTCATTAACTTCTTTTCCCTTTTCCCACTGAACTCATTCCAGCTGAGTTACCAATGGACAGGAACTGGGACTTCCACCTGTTTCCTGAACACGTAACATAGCACCTGACACATAGAAAGCACTGAAATAGTTGTTGAATGAAAAATCTTTAAAAATATATGAATTCCCAGAGTGCTTATAAAATAATTTCACAAATACAAATGGTCATATCAGTACAATGCAGGGGTAGGGAGGACAGACAGATTCCTGTTTCCCCTTGTTACTCTCTTTCCATGTTCGGCCTTAGAAAAACATCAGGAACAGTTTATGCCTAGGTATTCATTTATTCATCTACTTGTTCAACAAACATTTCTGAGTGGCTATGGTATGCCAGGCACAGTCCTCAGCACTTGCTTCTGAGAGAAAGTGACGTTTCAGCAGAGTCATGAATGCCCGCCAAACCTCGATTCCTTGTTCTGGGCACGAAACTAAGGTCCTTTGTCCATTTCTCTTACATCTGGGGAAGGCCATGTGACCGGTTCTCACCAATGGAATTTGAGCGGAAGTGGAGTTTCACTTCCGACCTAGGCAATGAAGAACTGGTGAGTCTTCTCCACACTCTTTCCCTCTTCCCTTTAAACCATCGCCAACGCAGATAATGAGACCAGCTGGGAGAAGTTCCAGTGACCGATCGACTTCACGGAACAGAGCTCCCACCACCATTCACTAAGTGTATCAGATTGTGACTCGAGTGAAAAATGAACTTTATTGTGTGAACTAATCATATTTGGGGATTTCTTTCCCATCGGCTAGCTTTACTTACCCTGATTAACACTGTCATAAATTATGACATATAAATTACACAACACACTAGATAAATGTTGTCTCCTGCTTTGCATGGGAAACATGAAACGTGAGAATTTATCAAAGAAGGTATTAAGGTCATAAAGACTTAAAGTTTGTCCCAAATAGATAAAGAAAAATCTTTGTGGGCACACAGCTCTTCATTCCTGCTCTCCGATGGCCACCCGATCAAAGTGCTGACGTCCTGACTTGAAAACAGGCACAGAGTCACCCACCCCATCATCTTCATCCCCTTTATCAGCCACTGTCAGTCTCCTTCCTGCACTTTGAAGAATTTCCCTGAGCGACCTTCAGGAGGTCTAGTGTTATTCAAAATAGAGTGCGTATTGGGAGTGACAGCAGATAGGAGTGAGAAGAGGCGTCCTGTAGGCTCTTGACTAGCTTACTAAAAAGTTTGTATATTGATCTTCAGGACATATGAGTTGAATAAAGTATGGACTATTTGTAGTGGGATGACTTTTTTCTTTCTTTTTTCCCTTCTCCTGCCATATTCTTTCCTGGGTGACTGGTACCCACTAAAGCTAAGGCAACAATGGGAAAAAATGGCTGGTCATAGATGCTTCACCAAGAGACCTAATCATGACGAGGGCCTCTTTCCTCAATGCCCTCGCTCCACGGCCCTTCCCTCCTCCAAACCCCATTAATCAATGAATCTTCATAGCACCAAAAGACTGATAGTTTCATGGAGGCCCATTGGCTTCCTACTGTCAATTGACTGTAGAATGGAAACTGACTTTTAGTTTTTCAATGTTAGCAACTTGATTCTTTCCCTCTTTTGCCTGCTCAGTTAAACTCTGCTGAAGAAGATTCAACTCTAGCTGAAGGCTCACTAGACACTGGAGGAGACAATAAGGTCTATTAATATCAATAGGGCCTATTAATGTTGCATGAGAAGTAGAATTATTGCAGGCACCAGACATTTATATCTTATGGTCAAAGTGCTACACTTTCAGAAATAGCCATACAGGAAGCTAAAAGATTATCAGAAGGTTGCTAGGGAGGGATATGTTACCAAGATTAGGAGATTTAAGAGGAATATTGAGTGGTGGAGAACATCAAGTTGTGATAGCCTCATCAATACCCCAGAATAGACTGGTCCATCACAGATGCAGACCAGCTGTGCAATTCCATTCACTGAGGGTCCAGTCACAGCCACAGGCCTTCTCTGTAGTAGATTACAGTATTGACCTAGTGCTTCATCCCTCACTGTATTCATACCCTTTAGTAGTTTGA